CGTTTGGTCAAAGGATCGGATTTACTTGTCTCTTTGACGAGTTGTTGGGTGGTGCTAAGAATGGCGAGACTCTCTGACGATACCGGCAAAACGTCTGGGAAAGTACCATATCCACGGTCCGACCTTGGAAATGGTCATGCATACAATGGACTCCGGACTAGGTGCGTGCCTCTAGGTATTCCTACCAATATGACCAAGTTGCGCAAACAAGGTCAAACAACCTCTACAAAATTATGCATTACTTATTTGAGGACAAAGGCTCTACTTTTTCCTTTATAAGTAGGTTTTCTAGACTGTCAATGGATCATATATATGAGATGTATTTCCGCTATTTCGTTTAAGGTGATAAAAGGTTGATAGTTTAATTTGTCCACAATCACGTGAGTAGACCTTGCGCTTCTTTAAATTTTAACTTGGCCTCGATTCCCAAAAGGTATCCCAATCCAGGGCACATTGCCGTTTCGAACTTGTCTGAACTGGTCTCATCAGACCCTCCGGCAGGACTCGAACCCGGGCGATGGTAGTGCGGCGTATAATCTTGGAATGTTAGTCGCTACGTTACGCTGCTCCGTGGTGTAAATGGATGGGAAAAGATGGTAGCCAAATGTGCGTTAAAATGTTATATGATGGCAAGCCGATATATTTGGCTTTTTCTCATAGACGAGGGTGTCTTCATCATATTTGGCAAGCACGAAATATTGCTCAAGGAGATGTACACTAGACTTGGTTATGTTCTATGGATAATGATGCTACAGTTTATTGCTCATCTCTTAAATATTGACATGTTTTCTTTTAAGTGTGCCAAAATTACAATCAGCAGAAAGGCTCCATTAAGCTGAAGAAACTCCCTGAACTGATTAACGGATTCTTACACTAGACTGGGTTATGTTCTATGGATAATGATGACAATAGTCGTGATTCAAGGATCACTTCTATCCACTTTAGTATCCACTGCGACTTTCCTATTTATATCTGTGATACCATGTCAACCACTCCGTACGTCATATTCTCTTTTGTGCCAACCTACAAATTTTGTGGTTCTACTTGTTTTGATTAGGCTCATGATGGGCTATCAGAATGGTAG